TTGGTATCCAACCAGCTTCTGTAAATTCCTTTTTTTTTCAGTCTGGGACTGAAAGTTCTATTAGGCGACGAAATTTTATTGTTCCCCTGAGGCAAACTCTAATTTAACTTCGTATGAGAGGACGTTTATCAGATCCAAGACTTCCTAGGGAGCTTCGTTCAGCCATGCAAGAATCCTAAATTACCAACGACTAATAAAGTAGCCGTCTACTTCTCAGCCCAGAGTTCTCGGTCCTGATGCAGTTGTTAAAGGGAAAAAACGACGTAGGTGTTACATGACAATACAATGAAAAAAATGTTCTACAATCTGTAATAAGTATGTAAAGTCACAGCGCAGCTTACATTGTTTCGTGAAAAGTGATAAATGTGAATTATACGAGAAAGTATTTGTTTTTGTTGTAGAATATCAACACCAAATATGTGTTGTTAAATGGCCCATTTTGTTAGTTTTTTATGTTCATATTACAGTTCAAGTTTCGTAAATTATATTTATTGCATTACTCGTCTTCAAATGGGGTATTTTCGTTTTTAGACAATAAACAGTTTTCATGTAAGAGTGTTTATGCGTACAAACCTGTTGTACACATGGCTAAAAACAGTAATGGCATTTCAGAAGTTGATAGTAAGATCCGGTGGATAACCTGTTTTGCGAGATTAGACGTGGGATTTCCAACACGAACCCCATCTGCTTATTTGCAGCATTAAAAACTGTAATAATCAACAATTTCAGTTTTCCATTGACAATAATGAAGAATTATGAAGGCGATTCATGTAAGGCACTAGGTAAATTCGCGTTGCTTTTAGAAGAGTATTGTCTGAATAGACAACAGTTACCTTGTGATTCTTTACCGAGCTGCATTTTTCAAGTTGAAAATCGGGTGCTGAAAGTGATGGATCTATAGATTTGTGAGAATTTGCTGCTGCTTCAACTTCTTTTTGTAATAACAATAACAGTCTATATAAAATTTAACAATTCTGTTTCTTCTTTGATTTTGAGTCACCCTGTAAATGTAGCTCTACTAAACTATCGGACCGCATTCATAGCCTACAAGAGAAAAAAATCTTCTATACTGGAAAGGAGGAAAAAAGAATGTATCACCTGATACATCTGCCCCTCTTTATAACCCGTGAAATAGCCCTAGTTCTAATTAAATTTCAGTCCAAGCTTCCAAAATGACTTCCGACAATATTAAAGTAGCCATAAAGATCAGACCAATGATCCACCGCGAAGTAGCCGATGGTCTAGAGCGTCTTTGGAACGTAAGAGAAAACTGCATATGGGAAGCCGATGAAAGTAGTCGCCATGGAGAGGTTTATATATTCGACCATATATTTAACCAGGAATGTACAAATTCAGATGTATATGGATCTGTAGTAAAACCTTTAGTCGATTCCTTCATGGAAGGTTTCAATGCCACAATATTTGCATATGGCCAAACATCTTCTGGCAAAACACACACCATTTTGGGCAATAAAACAGATCCTGGGCTTTTCCAATTAGTATCCAATCAGTTATTCCAGCATGTGGCAGACCAGGTTGATAAGAGGTACTTGATTATGCAGTTATATTGAAATCTACAATGAAAAGATCAATGACCTCCTGGATAAGAGCAATCAGGGTTTAACTATAAGAGAAGATATCAAAGGAAATGTGCTGCTTGATGCAAGGGAAGCTGTCGTAGACAATGTTGATAAGTTATGGAGAACATGATGCAGGGCAATAAGATCAGACGAGTTGCAGCTACTCGCATGAATGAGAGGTCATCTCGATCACACACGATTTTCCGGATTATTCTGGAGTCGAAAGATGCCAATCAGAAAGATGGACCTGTACATATAAGCTACCTTAACTTAATGGACTTAGCTGGTTCTGAGAGAGTTTCTCTGACGAAAGCTGCTGGTGAGCGTCTTAAAGAGGGGGCTAACATAAACAAATCTTTGTCAGTATTAGGAAATGTGATAAGGCAACTAAGCGAGGGGAAGGAGTTTATCAGTTATCGCGATTCGAAATTGACTAGACTGCTCTCACAGGCTCTTGGCGGTAATGCCAAATCATTGATTATCGGGAATGTTACTTTAGCTGCAGAGGAGGAGACTAGATCTACACTAGAATTCGCCCAAAGCACTAAAACTGTCAAAAATAAACCGAAAGTAAACATCTTGTCAGCTACAGAAGAGGCACTTCAAGGATATCAGAACTTGACTCGCGATCTCGAAACTCGGCTCAAAAAGCAGGCAATTAAGCTAGAAGAGATGCAGAAAAGCAAACAAGAGTATCTGCTCGAGATAGAAAGACTAAAAACGGAAGTATCTATTGTCGGGCGCTTTCAAATGGGAGCCTCGGCATCAACACCGAAAAAAACATTAAGACGTCATACTTTTGGAGACTATGGCAACGTATCACCTAAAAAAGCATCCCTACGGTATATGCCATTGAAAAATTATCCACCCGAAGAAGAATCATCCGGACGTGAAATGAGGCCTATTCAAAAAGAGACATATGAGGAGGCACTAGCCGAAGCAGAATCTGTGATAGCTGAAGACGTGCCTGCAAGTGTGCTTAAAAGACAACTCCAAGAACTGGAAGAATCTTTCAATGTGCTTAGAGAATTCACTAAACTAGATAATCAGCTGGAGATTTTGGACCTGAAGAAACAGCTCACAGAAGCCAATTCTAAAATCGATCGTTACAGTCAGGAACTCCGCCAAGTAACGGATGCGTACAATGAAGAAATAGAAAGGGTTCAAAAAATTCTCAAAAAGCGCAAGAATTTCATCGACTTGCAACACAGACTCGATTTTCTGGAAAAAAATTATAAAAAGACTAAAAACATACGAGTCAGAAATAGAGATGCTGCGTAGTCAACTGAAGAACCTAGGAAGATCAGAGAGCCCTAAACTATCTCTTGAAGCTCAAAATATTGAGTCAAAAAAGAAGGTTGCAGACTTAGAAGCTATGCTTGACGCTGAGTACGAAGATATGCAAGTTTCTTTAAGTGCTGCTACACAAACTGATGTAACGATGTCACACATTGCTGAACTGCAAGATGAAATTGGCTTCCTAAAAGAACTTGAATCTAAACTGAGAAATGACGCAAAGTCTGATGGACGACAATATTATTTACCTGAACTAAAGTCCGTGGCAACCAATTTGGAAAATAATAACCCTGTGACTCGAGAAATGCAGATAAATTTCTCCAAATACGAGAAATTTTCTAGACACTCATAGAGAACTGTCGAAATTGTTATATTTCGGGTGAGTCCCCTACAAAATACGAGATGCTCGTGGGCCGATGTCCTTCCTGTGCCTACAGAAAACTAAACCGAATAAGTATGGACTGATGATGCAAAGACTCACCACTACCTGCTCAATGCTTTCGTCTATACGAACAGAAATATCACAGCAGATGACTGGTTCACGTCAGTAGAATTACATGTAGAATTGCGATCAACCAACTGACCTATGTCGGCAGGAAGCGTAAAAATAAGTAACAAGTACCCCAACATGTAGTTCCAAATAAGAAGGAAACACAGCCAGGTACTTCTAAGTTTATGTTGTACAGCCTTAGAGTAGTATCTTCCAAAACCAAATACACATGTTCTCGTATAGCAATCTATGCAGCATGATAACAAAATAGTAGAGGAATCAAAGAAACCTGATAAGATCCTATATTATTTTTATAACACTATGAAGGCGGGGGGTAATGCATTAGATCGGAAGTGTGTAAATTACAATACTGGTTAGAGAACGAGAAGATGGCCTTGTGCTATTTGGTATCCAACCAGCTTCTGTAAATTCCTTTTTTTTTCAGTCTGGGACTGAAAGTTCCATTAGGCGACGAAATTTTATTGTTCCCCTGAGGCAAACTCTAATTTAACTTCGTATGAGAGGACGTTTATCAGATCCAAGACTTCCTAGGGAGCTTCGTTCAGCCATGCAAAGAATCCTAAATTACCAACGACGAATAAAGTAAGCCGTCTACTTCTCAGCCCAGAGTTCTCGATCCTGATGCAGTTGTTAAAGAAAAAAAACGACGTAGGTGTTACATGACAATACACAATGAAAAAATGTTCTACAATCTGTAATAAGTATGTAAAGTCACAGCGCACTTACATTGTTTCGTGAAAAGTGATAAATGTTAATTATTGTATGTTTCCTTATACGAGAAAGTATTTGTTTTTGTTGTAGAATATCAACACCAAATATGTTGTTAAATGGCCCATTTTGTTAGTTTTTTTATGTTCATATTACAGTTCAAGTTTCGAGGATTATATTTATTGCATTACTCATCTTCAATGGGGTATTTTCGTTTTTAGACAATAAACAGTTTTCATGTAAGAGTGTCTTATGCGTACAAACCTGTTGTACACATGGCTAAAAACAGTAATGGCATTTCAGATGTTGATAGTAAGATCCGGTGGATAACCTGTTTTGCGAGATTAGACGTGGGATTTCCAACACGAACCCATCTGTTATTTGAGCATTAAAAACTGTAATAATCAACAATTTCAGTTTTCCATTGACAATAATGAAGAATTATGAAGGCGATTCATGTAAGGCACTAGGTAACTTCGCGTTGCTTTTAGAAGAGTATTGTCTGAATAGACAACAGTTACCTTGTGATTCTTCACCGAGCTGCATTTTTCAAGTTGAAAAATCGGGTGCTGAAAGTGATGGATCTATAGATTTGTGAGAATTTGCTGCTGCTTCAACTTCTTTTTGTAATAACAATAACAGTCTATATGAAATTTAACAATTCTGTTTCTTCTTTGATTTTGAGTCACCCTGTAAATGTAGCTCTACTAAACTATCGGACCGCATTCATAGCCTACAAGAGAAAAAAATCTTCTATACTGGAAAGGAGGAAAAAAAGAATGTATCAACCTGATACATCTGCCCCTCTTTATAACCCGTGAAATAGCCCTAGTTCTAATTAAATTTCAGTTCAAGCTTCCAAAATGACTTCCAACAATATTAAAGTAGCCACAAAGATCAGACCAATGATCCACCGCGAAGTAGCCGATGGTCTAGAGCGTCTTTGGAACGTAAGAGTAAACTGCATATGGGAAGCCGATGAAAGTAGTCGCCATGGAGAGGTTTATATATTCGACCATGTATTTAATCAGGAATGTACAAATTCAGATGTATATGGATCTGTAGTAAAACCTTTAGTCGATTCCTTCATGGAAGGTTTCAATGCCACAATATTTGCATATGGCCAAACATCTTCTGGCAAAACACACACCATTTTGGGCAATAAAACAGATCCTGGGCTTTTCCAATTAGTATCCAATCAGTTATTCCAGCATGTGGCAGACCAGGTTGATAAGAGGTACTTGATTAGATGCAGTTATATTGAAATCTACAATGAAAAGATCAATGACCTCCTGGATAAGAGCAATCAGGGTTTAACTATAAGAGAAGATATCAAAGGAAATGTGCTGCTTGATGCAAGGGAAGCTGTCGTAGACAATGTTGATAAAGTTATGGAGAACATGATGCAGGGCAATAAGATCAGACGAGTTGCAGCTACTCGCATGAATGAGAGGTCATCTCGATCACACACGATTTTCCGGATTATTCTGGAGTCGAAAGATGCCAATCAGAAAGATGGACCTGTACATATAAGCTACCTTAACTTAATGGACTTAGCTGGTTCTGAGAGAGTTTCTCTGACGAAAGCTGCTGGTGAGCGTCTTAAAGAGGGGGCTAACATAAACAAATCTTTGTCAGTATTAGGAAATGTGATAAGGCAACTAAGCGAGGGGAAGGAGTTTATCAGTTATCGCGATTCGAAATTGACTAGACTGCTCTCACAGGCTCTTGGCGGTAATGCCAAATCATTGATTATCGGGAATGTTACTTTAGCTGCAGAGGAGGAGACTAGATCTACACCAGAATTCGCCCAAAGCACTAAAACTGTCAAAAATAAAACGAAAGTAAACATCTTGTCAGCTACAGAAGAGACACTTCAAGGATATCAGAACTTGACTCGCGATCTCGAAACTCGGCTCAAAAAGCAGGCAATTAAGCTAAAAGAGATGGATAAAAGCAAACAAGAGTATCTGCTCGCAGATAGAAAGACTAAAAACGGAAGTATCTATTGTCGGGCGCTTTCAAATGGGAGCCTCGGCATCAACACCGAAAAAAACATTAAGACGTCATACTTTTGGACACTATGGCAACGTATCACCTAAAAAAGCATCCCTAGGGTATATGCCATTGAAAAATTATCCACCCAAAGAAGAATCATCCGGACGTGAAATGAGGCCTATTCAAGAAGAGACATATGAGGAGGCACTAGCCGAAGCAGAATCTGTGATAGCTGAAGACGTGCAAGTGTACTTAAAAGACAACTCAAAGAACTGGAAGAATCTTTCAATGAGCTTAGAGAATTCACTAAACTAGATAATCAGCTGGAGATTTTGGACCTGAAGAAACAGCTCACAGAAGCCAATTCTAAAATCGATCGTTACAGTCAGGAACTCCGCCAAGTAACGGATGCGTACAACGAAGAAATAGAAAGAGTTCAAAAAAATTCTCAAAAAGCGCAAGAATTTCATCGACTTGCAATACAGACTCGATTTTCTGGAAAAAAAAATAAAAAGACTAAAAACATACGAGTCAGAAATAGAGATGCTGCGTACTCAACTGAAGAACCTAGGAAGATCAGAGAGCCCTAAACCATCTCTTGAAGCTCAAAATATTGAGTCAAAAAAGAAGGTTGCAGAAGCGCTTGACGCTGAGTACGAAGATATGCAACATTCTTTAAGTGCTGCTGCACAAACTGATGTAACGATGTCACACATTGCTGAACTGCAAGATGAAATTGGCTTCCTAAAAGAACTTGAATCTAAACTGAGAAATGACGTAAAGAGTCTGATGGACGAGAGTAACCAACGTGAGGTCAACCACTCATTTAAAATCTCAGATATACGATGCCATAATGATTCTACTATAAAGAGCTTCAGGATCAAATGGCTGAACTGGAATGCCAAAACGAAATCTGGATTATGAAAAAGGACGACGAAATCAGAAAATTGCAACAACTAATTACAAACCCGAAGCAGGCTGGCACTTAACCAGAACCACCTGTGCAGGAAGACGTTGCATTTTATAGGGAGCAAGTTGAGTTCTCCCAGAACATGTACAAAAATGAGATAATAGGTGGAGAGTTACGTATAAACCATAGAGAAAATCTTCAGGCAGTTAAACTAGAAATATGTCTACCCTTGTTTAGTGTTTACGATTATTGCAGGGTTTGGACAAAGTTTAGGGCTGATCCCAGTGCTCACAGTGTACAATTTTCAGCTAATAAATCTTGAATTCTGAGGTAACAAAATCAACTAGAACTCTGAAAAAGTGATTTATCAGAAATCATGCCCTTACTTCCATGATAAGAGGGATTCGTAAAAATTATAAGCAGGTTGTGGCTTATTATCTAGTAAAAGATACAAGAATCCCAGATCTGAAAACGATTATTGTTCATGTGATCACAAACTAGCAGCGACTTGGTTTGTGCGTTGTTGGCACTATTTCTAATCAGGGCGCAACGATCAAAAACGCACTTGAGACGATTTGCTCGGAGAATACTCACGGATCAAGTCCATTCCATTTTATAGTCAATGCTCAGAGTATTTCTACAATTTGTGATGAACCACATTTATTCAAAAATGGATGAAATGCTCTTATTGACATTAATATGAAAGTGAAGAAGCTGCACAGATTGAACATGTCTAGAAATCATATAATGTTGATCAGCAAACAAGACCATACAAAGAGCTATGTAAATTGAAACCCAGCCACTTTGATTTTATAGATTCGTTCAAGAATATAGAAATTAATCCTTTAATGATATCGTCGGATGATTCGAGCTTTCTCAGTTATGTGGTGGGGGTCCCGTGACTTCTCATACGGTATGAGCACGTATACCTCAAACCACAGTTTAATTTAAACATCACAATTGTTGGTTTGTTGACTTTGCGGTCAAATTTGATCCGAGGATGTCAGTTGCGTGTACGATTTGAACTTCCTTCACAATGGATTTTTTCGTTGTTGACGGATGAACAATACACTATAGACTACGCCGAGGACGACGCTGCTATCGATCAACCTGAACAACTTCCTATGGGCGACCTCGCTATGCCTATGGAAAAAACATGTACAATTGGTCAAAACGAGCGCCTGCAACTGGTCGATTATTACGCATTTACCTGAACTAAAGTCCGTGGCAACCAATTTGGAAAATAATAACCCTGTGACTCGAGAAATGCCGATAAATTTCTCCAAATACGTGAAATTTTCGAGACACTCATAGAGAACTGTCGAAATTGTTATATTTCGGGTGAGTCCCCTACAAAATACGAGATGCTCGTGGGCCGATGTCCTTCCTGTGCCTACAAGAAAACTAAACCGAATAAGTATGGACTGATGATGCAAAGACTCACCACTACCTGCTCAATGCTTTCGTCTATACGAACAGAAATATCACAGCAGATGACTGGTTCACGTCAGTAGAATTACATGTAGAATTGCGCATCAACCAACTGACCTATGTCGGCAGGAAGCGTAAAAATAAGTAACAAGTACCCCAACATGTAGTTCCAAATAAGAAGGAAACACAGCCAGGTACTTCTAAGTTTATGTTGTACAGCCTTAGAGTAGTATCTTCCAAAACCAAATACACATGTTCTCGTATAGCAATCTATGCAGCATGATAACAAAATAGTAGAGGAATCAAAGAAACCTGATAAGATCCTATATTATTTTTATAACACTATGAAGGCGGGGGGTAATGCATTAGATCGGAAGTGTGTAAATTACAATACTGGTTAGAGAACGAGAAGATGGCCTTGTGCTATTTGGTATCCAACCAGCTTCTGTAAATTCCTTTTTTTTTCAGTCTGGGACTGAAAGTTCCATTAGGCGACGAAATTTTATTGTTCCCCTGAGGCAAACTCTAATTTAACTTCGTATGAGAGGACGTTTATCAGATCCAAGACTTCCTAGGGAGCTTCGTTCAGCCATGCAAAGAATCCTAAATTACCAACGACGAATAAAGTAAGCCGTCTACTTCTCAGCCCAGAGTTCTCGATCCTGATGCAGTTGTTAAAGAAAAAAAACGACGTAGGTGTTACATGACAATACACAATGAAAAAAATGTTCTACAATCTGTAATAAGTATGTAAAGTCACAGCGCAGTTACATTGTTTCGTGAAAAGTGATAAATGTGAATTATTGTACGTTTCCTTATACGAGAAAGTATTTGTTTTTTTGTAGAATATCAACACCAAATGTTGTTAAATGGCCCATTTTGTTAGTTTTTTTATGTTCATATTACAGTTCAAGTTTCGAATTATATTTATTGCATTACTCATCTTCAATGGGGTATTTTCGTTTTTAGACAATAAACAGTTTTCATGTAAGAGTGTCTTATGCGTACAAACCTGTTGTACACATGGCTAAAAACAGTAATGGCATTTCAGATGTTGATAGTAAGATCCGGTGGATAACCTGTTTTGCGAGATTAGACGTGGGATTTCCAACACGAACCCATCTGCTTATTTGCAGCATTAAAAACTGTAATAATCAACAATTTCAGTTTTCCATTGACAATAATGAAGAATTATGAAGGCGATTCATGTAAGGCACTAGGTAACTTCGCGTTGCTTTTAGAAGAGTATTGTCTGAATAGACAACAGTTACCTTGTGATTTTCACCGAGCTGCATTTTTCAAGTTGAAAAATCGGGTGCTGAAAGTGATGGATCTATAGATTTGTGAGAATTTGCTGCTGCTTCAACTTCTTTTTGTAATAACAATAACAGTCTATATGAAATTTAACAATTCTGTTTCTTCTTTGATTTTGAGTCACCCTGTAAATGTAGCTCTACTAAACTATCGGACCGCATTCATAGCCTACAAGAGAAAAAAATCTTCTATACTGGAAAGGAGGAAAAAAAGAATGTATCAACCTGATACATCTGCCCCTCTTTATAACCCGTGAAATAGCCCTAGTTCTAATTAAATTTCAGTTCAAGCTTCCAAAATGACTTCCACAATATTAAAGTAGCCATAAAGATCAGACCAATGATCCACCGCGAAGTAGCCGATGGTCTAGAGCGTCTTTGGAACGTAAGAGAAACTGCATATGGGAAGCCGATGAAAGTAGTCGCCATGGAGAGGTTTATATATTCGACCATGTATTTAATCAGGAATGTACAAATTCAGATGTATATGGATCTGTAGTAAAACCTTTAGTCGATTCCTTCATGGAAGGTTTCAATGCCACAATATTTGCATATGGCCAAACATCTTCTGGCAAAACACACACCATTTTGGGCAATAAAACAGATCCTGGGCTTTTCCAATTAGTATCCAATCAGTTATTCCAGCATGTGGCAGACCAGGTTGATAAGAGGTACTTGATTAGATGCAGTTATATTGAAATCTACAATGAAAAGATCAATGACCTCCTGGATAAGAGCAATCAGGGTTTAACTATGAGAGAGATATCAAAGGAAATGTGCTGCTTGATGCAAGGGAAGCTGTCGTAGACAATGTTGATAAAGTTATGGAGAACATGATGCAGGGCAATAAGATCAGACGAGTTGCAGCTACTCGCATGAATGAGAGGTCATCTCGATCACACACGATTTTCCGGATTATTCTGGAGTCGAAAGATGCCAATCAGAAAGATGGACCTGTACATATAAGCTACCTTAACTTAATGGACTTAGCTGGTTCTGAGAGAGTTTCTCTGACGAAAGCTGCTGGTGAGCGTCTTAAAGAGGGGGCTAACATAAACAAATCTTTGTCAGTATTAGGAAATGTGATAAGGCAACTAAGCGAGGGGAAGGAGTTTATCAGTTATCGCGATTCGAAATTGACTAGACTGCTCTCACAGGCTCTTGGCGGTAATGCCAAATCATTGATTATCGGGAATGTTACTTTAGCTGCAGAGGAGGAGACTAGATCTACACCAGAATTCGCCCAAAGCACTAAAACTGTCAAAAATAAACGAAAGTAAACATCTTGTCAGCTACAGAAGAGGCACTTCAAGGATATCAGAACTTGACTCGCGATCTCGAAACTCGGCTCAAAAAGCAGGCAATTAAGCTAAGAGATGCAGAAAAGCAAACAAGAGTATCTGCTCGAGATAGAAAGACTAAAAACGGAAGTATCTATTGTCGGGCGCTTTCAAATGGGAGCCTCGGCATCAACACCGAAAAAAACATTAAGACGTCATACTTTTGGAGACTATGGCAACGTATCACCTAAAAAAGCATCCCTAGGTATATGCCATTGAAAAATTATCCACCCAAGAAGAATCATCCGGACGTGAAATGAGGCCTATTCAAAAGAGACATATGAGGAGGCACTAGCCGAAGCAGAATCTGTGATAGCTGAAGACGTGCAAGTGTACTTAAAAGACAACTCAAAGAACTGGAAGAATCTTTCAATGAGCTTAGAGAATTCACTAAACTAGATAATCAGCTGGAGATTTTGGACCTGAAGAAACAGCTCACAGAAGCCAATTCTAAAATCGATCGTTACAGTCAGGAACTCCGCCAAGTAACGGATGCGTACAACGAAGAAATAGAAAGGTTCAAAAAAATTCTCAAAAAGCGCAAGAATTTCATCGACTTGCAATACAGACTCGATTTTCTGGAAAAAAAATAAAAAACTAAAAACATACGAGTCAGAAATAGAGATGCTGCGTACTCAACTGAAGAACCTAGGAAGATCAGAGAGCCCTAAACCATCTCTTGAAGCTCAAAATATTGAGTCAAAAAAGAAGGTTGCAGACTTAGAAGCTATGCTTGACGCTGAGTACGAAGATATGCAAGTTTCTTTAAGTGCTGCTACACAAACTGATGTAACGATGTCACACATTGCTGAACTGCAAGATGAAATTGGCTTCCTAAAAGAACTTGAATCTAAACTGAGAAATGACGCAAAGAGTCTGATGGACGACAATATTATTTACCTGAACTAAAGTCCGTGGCAACCAATTTGGAAAATAATAACCCTGTGACTCGAGAAATGCAGATAAATTTCTCCAAATACGAGAAATTTTCTAGACACTCATAGAGAACTGTCGAAATTGTTATATTTCGGGTGAGTCCCCTACAAAATACGAGATGCTCGTGGGCCGATGTCCTTCCTGTGCCTACAGAAAACTAAACCGAATAAGTATGGACTGATGATGCAAAGACTCACCACTACCTGCTCAATGCTTTCGTCTATACGAACAGAAATATCACAGCAGATGACTGGTTCACGTCAGTAGAATTACATGTAGAATTGCGCATCAACCAACTGACCTATGTCGGCAGGAAGCGTAAAAATAAGTAACAAGTACCCCAACATGTAGTTCCAAATAAGAAGGAAACACAGCCAGGTACTTCTAAGTTTATGTTGTACAGCCTTAGAGTAGTATCTTCCAAAACCAAATACACATGTTCTCGTATAGCAATCTATGCAGCATGATAACAAAATAGTAGAGGAATCAAAGAAACCTGATAAGATCCTATATTATTTTTATAACACTATGAAGGCGGGGGGTAATGCATTAGATCGGAAGTGTGTAAATTACAATACTGGTTAGAGAACGAGAAGATGGCCTTGTGCTATTTGGTATCCAACCAGCTTCTGTAAATTCCTTTTTTTTTCAGTCTGGGACTGAAAGTTCCATTAGGCGACGAAATTTTATTGTTCCCCTGAGGCAAACTCTAATTTAACTTCGTATGAGAGGACGTTTATCAGATCCAAGACTTCCTAGGGAGCTTCGTTCAGCCATGCAAAGAATCCTAAATTACCAACGACGAATAAAGTAAGCCGTCTACTTCTCAGCCCAGAGTTCTCGATCCTGATGCAGTTGTTAAAGAAAAAAACGACGTAGGTGTTACATGACAATACACAATGAAAAAAATGTTCTACAATCTGTAATAAGTATGTAAAGTCACAGCGCACTTACATTGTTTCGTGAAAAGTGATAAATGTTAATTATTGTATGTTTCCTTATACGAGAAAGTATTTGTTTTTGTAGTATATCAACACCAAATATGTTGTTAAATGGCCCATTTTGTTAGTTTTTTTATGTTCATATTACAGTTCAAGTTTCGAGGATTATATTTATTGCATTACTCATCTTCAATGGGGTATTTTCGTTTTTAGACAATAAACAGTTTTCATGTAAGAGTGTCTTATGCGTACAAACCTGTTGTACACATGGCTAAAAACAGTAATGGCATTTCAGATGTTGATAGTAAGATCCGGTGGATAACCTGTTTTGCGAGATTAGACGTGGGATTTCCAACACGAACACCATCTGTTTATTTGAAGCATTAAAAACTGTAATAATCAACAATTTCAGTTTTCCATTGACAATAATGAAGAATTATGAAGGCGATTCATGTAAGGCACTAGGTAACTTCGCGTTGCTTTTAGAAGAGTATTGTCTGAATAGACAACAGTTACCTTGTGATTCTTCACCGAGCTGCATTTTTCAAGTTGAAAAATCGGGTGCTGAAAGTGATGGATCTATAGATTTGTGAGAATTTGCTGCTGCTTCAACTTCTTTTTGTAATAACAATAACAGTCTATATGAAATTTAACAATTCTGTTTCTTCTTTGATTTTGAGTCACCCTGTAAATGTAGCTCTACTAAACTATCGGACCGCATTCATAGCCTACAAGAGAAAAAAATCTTCTATACTGGAAAGGAGGAAAAAAAGAATGTATCAACCTGATACATCTGCCCCTCTTTATAACCCGTGAAATAGCCCTAGTTCTAATTAAATTTCAGTTCAAGCTTCCAAAATGACTTCCAACAATATTAAAGTAGCCACAAAGATCAGACCAATGATCCACCGCGAAGTAGCCGATGGTCTAGAGCGTCTTTGGAACGTAAGAGTAAACGCATATGGGAAGCCGATGAAAGTAGTCGCCATGGAGAGGTTTATATATTCGACCATGTATTTAATCAGGAATGTACAAATTCAGATGTATATGGATCTGTAGTAAAACCTTTAGTCGATTCCTTCATGGAAGGTTTCAATGCCACAATATTGCATATGGCCAAACATCTTCTGGCAAAACACACACCATTTTGGGCAATAAAACAGATCCTGGGCTTTTCCAATTAGTATCCAATCAGTTATTCCAGCATGTGGGCAGACCAGGTTGAATAAGAGGTACTTGATTAGATGCAGTTATATTGAAATCTACAATGAAAAGATCAATGACCTCCTGGATAAGAGCAATCAGGGTTTAACTATGAGAGATATCAAAGGAAATGTGCTGCTTGATGCAAGGGAAGCTGTCGTAGACAATGTTGATAAAGTTATGGAGAACATGATGCAGGGCAATAAGATCAGACGAGTTGCAGCTACTCGCATGAATGAGAGGTCATCTCGATCACACACGATTTTCCGGATTATTCTGGAGTCGAAAGATGCCAATCAGAAAGATGGACCTGTACATATAAGCTACCTTAACTTAATGGACTTAGCTGGTTCTGAGAGAGTTTCTCTGACGAAAGCTGCTGGTGAGCGTCTTAAAGAGGGGGCTAACATAAACAAATCTTGTCAGTATTAGGAAATGTGATAAGGCAACTAAGCGAGGGGAAGGAGTTTATCAGTTATCGCGATTCGAAATTGACTAGACTGCTCTCACAGGCTCTTGGCGGTAATGCCAAATCATTGATTATCGGGAATGTTACTTTAGCTGCAGAGGAGGAGACTAGATCTACACCAGAATTCGCCCAAAGCACTAAAACTGTCAAAATAAAACGAAAGTAAACATCTTGTCAGCTACAGAAGAGACACTTCAAGGATATCAGAACTTGACTCGCGATCTCGAAACTCGCTCAAAAAGCAGGCAATTAAGCTAAAAGAGATGGATAAAAGCAAACAAGAGTATCTGCTCGAGATAGAAAGACTAAAAACGGAAGGTATCTATTGTCGGGCGCTTTCAAATGGGAGCCTCGGCATCAACACCGAAAAAAACATTAAGACGTCATACTTTTGGACACTATGGCAACGTATCACCTAAAAAAGCATCCCTAGGGTATATGCCATTGAAAAATTATCCACCCAAAGAAGAATCATCCGGACGTGAAATGAGGCCTATTCAAGAAGAGACATATGAGGAGGCACTAGCCGAAGCAGAATCTGTGATAGCTGAAGACGTGCAAGTGTACTTAAAAGACAACGCAAAGAACTGGAAGAATCTTTCAATGAGCTTAGAGAATTCACTAAACTAGATAATCAGCTGGAGATTTTGGACCTGAAGAAACAGCTCACAGAAGCCAATTCTAAAATCGATCGTTACAGTCAGGAACTCCGCCAAGTAACGGATGCGTACAACGAAGAAATAGAAAGAGTTCAAAAAAATTCTCAAAAAGCGCAAGAATTTCATCGACTTGCAATACAGACTCGATTTTCTGGAAAAAAATAATAAAAAGACTAAAAACATACGAGTCAGAAATAGAGATGCTGCGTACTCAACTGAAGAACCTAGGAAGATCAGAGAGCCCTAAACCATCTCTTGAAGCTCAAAATATGAGTCAAAAAAGAAGGTTGCGAGACTTAGAAGCTATGCTTGACGCTGAGTACGAAGATATGCAAGATTCTTAAGTGGCTGCTACACAACTGATGTAACGATGTCACACATTGCTGAAACTGCAAAGATGAAATTGGCTTCCTAAAAGAACTTGAATCTAAACTGAGAAATGACGTAAAGAGTCTGATGGACGAGAGTAACCAACGTGAGGTCAACCACTCATTTAAAATCTCAGATATACGATGCCATAATGATTCTACTATAAAAGAGCTTCAGGATCAAATGGCTGAACTGGAATGCCAAAACGAAATCTGGATTATGAAAAGTGCCCCTCTTTATAACCCGTGAAATAGCCCTAGTTCTAATTAAATTTCAGTTCAAGCTTCCAAAATGACTTCCGACAATATTAAAGTAGCCACAAAGATCAGACCAATGATCCACCGCGAAGTAGCCGATGGTCTAGAGCGTCTTTGGAACGTAAGAGTAAACTGCATATGGGAAGCCGATGAAAGTAGTCGCCATGGAGAGGTTTATATTCGACCATGTATTTAAGCAGGAATGTACAAATTCAGATGTATATGGATCTGTAGTAAAACCTTTAGTCGATTCCTTCATGGAAGGTTTCAATGCCACAATATTTGCATATGGCCAAACATCTTCTGGCAAAACACACACCATTTTGGGCAATAAAACAGATCCTGGGCTTTTCCAATTAGTATCCAATCAGTTATTCCAGCATGTGGCAGACCAGGTTGATAAGAGGTACTTGATTAGATGCAGTTATATTGAAATCTACAATGAAAAGATCAATGACCTCCTGGATAAGAGCATCAGGGTTTAACTATAAGAGAAGATATCAAAGGAAATGTGCTGCTTGATGCAAGGGAAGCTGTCGTAGACAATGTTGATAAAGTTATGGAGAACATGATGCAGGGCAATAAGATCAGACGAGTTGCAGCTACTCGCATGAATGAGAGGTCATCTCGATCACACACGATTTTCCGGATTATTCTGGAGTCGAAAGATGCCAGTCAGAAAGATGGACCTGTACATATAAGCTACCTTAACTTAATGGACTTAGCTGGTTCTGAGAGAGTTTCTCTGACGAAAGCTGCTGGTGAGCGTCTTAAAGAGGGGGCTAACATAAACAAATCTTTGTCAGTATTAGGAAATGTGATAAGGCAACTAAGCGAGGGGAAGGAGTTTATCAGTTATCGCGATTCGAAATTGACTAGACTGCTCTCACAGGCTCTTGGCGGTAATGCCAAATCATTGATTATCGGGAATGTTACTTTAGCTGCAGAGGAGGAGACTAGATCTACACCAGAATTCGCCCAAAGCACTAAAACTGTCAAAAATAAAACGAAAGTAAACATCTTGTCAGCTACAGAAGAGACACTTCAAGGATATCAGAACTTGACTCGCGATCTCGAAATCGGCTCAAAAAGCAGGCAATTAAGCTAAAAGAGATGGATAAAGCAAACAAGAGTATCTGCTCGAGATAGAAAGACTAAAAACGGAAGTATCTATTGTCGGGCGCTTTCAAATGGGAGCCTCGGCATCAACACCGAAAAAAACATTAAGACGTCATACTTTGGACACTATGGCAACGTATCACCTAAAAAAGCATCCCTAGGGTATATGCCATTGAAAAATTATCCACCCAAAGAAGAATCATCCGGACGTGAAATGAGGCCTATTCAAGAAGAGACATATGAGGAGGCACTAGCCGAAGCAGAATCTGTGATAGCTGAAGACGTGCAAGTGTACTTAAAAGACAACTCAAAGAACTGGAAGAATCTTTCAATGAGCTTAGAGAATTCACTAAACTAGATAATCAGCTGGAGATTTTGGACCTGAAGACACAGCTCACAGAAAGCCAATTCTAAATTCGATCGTTACAGTCAGGAACTCCGCCAAGTAACGGATGCGTACAACGAAGAAATAGAAAGAGTTCAAAAAAATTCTCAAAAGCGCAAGAATTTCATCGACTTGCAATACAGACTCGATTTTCTGGAAAAAAATAATAAAAAGACTAAAACATACGAGGTCAGAAATAGAGATGCTGCGTACTCAACTGAAGAACCTAGGAAGATCAGAGAGCCCTAAACCATCTCTTGAAGCTCAAAATATTGAGTCAAAAAAGAAGGTTGCAGACTTAGAAGCTATGCTTGACGCTGAGTACGAAGATATGCAACATTCTTTAAGTGCTGCTGCACAAACTGATGTGACGATGTCACACATTGCTGAACTGCAAGATGAAATTGGCTTCCTAAAAGAACTTGAATCTAAACTGAGAAATGACGTAAAGAGTCTGATGGACGAGAGTAACCAACGTGAGGTCAACCACTCATTTAAAATCTCAGATATACGAATGCCATAATGATTCTACTATAAAAGAGCTTCAGGATCAAATGGCTGAACTGGAATGCCAAAACGAAATCTGGATTATGAAAAGTGCCTCTCTTTATAACCCGTGAAATAGCCCTAGTTCTAATTAAATTTCAGATCAAGCTTCCAAAATGACTTCCGACAATATAAAGTAGCCACAAAGATCAGACCAATGATCCACCGCGAAGTAGCCGATGATCTAGAGCGTCTTTGGAACGTAAGAGTAACTGCATATGGGAAGCCGATGAAAGTAGTCGCCATGGAGAGGTTTATATATTCGACCATGTATTTAAGCAGGAATGTACAAATTCAGATGTATATGGATCTGTAGTAAAACCTTTAGTCGATTCCTTCATGGAAGGTTTCAATGCCACAATATTTGCATATGGCCAAACATCTTCTGGCAAAACACACACCATTTTGGGCAATAAAACAGATCCTGGGCTTTTCCAATTAGTATCCAATCAGTTATTCCAGCATGTGGCAGACCAGGTTGATAAGAGGTACTTGATTAGATGCAGTTATATTGAATCTACAATTAAAAGATCAATGACGTCCTGGATAAGAGCAATCAGGGTTTAACTATAAGAGAAGATATCAAAGGAAATGTGCTGCTTGATGCAAGGGAAGCTGTCGTAGACAATGTTGATAAAGTTATGGAGAACATGATGCAGGGCAATAAGATCAGACGAGTTGCAGCTACTCGCATGAATGAGAGGTCATCTCGATCACACACGATTTTCCGGATTATTCTGGAGTCGAAAGATGCCAATCAGAAAGATGGACCTGTACATATAAGCTAACCTTAACTTAATGGACTTAGCTGGTTCTGAGAGAGTTTCTCTGACGAAAGCTGCTGGTGAGCGTCTTAAAGAGGGGGCTAACATAAACAAATCTTTGTCAGTATTAGGAAATGTGATAAGGCAACTAAGCGAGGGGAAGGAGTTTATCAGTTATCGCGATTCGAAATTGACTAGACTGCTCTCACAGGCTCTTGGCGGTAATGCCAAATCATTGATTATCGGGAATGTATACTTTAGCTGCAGAGGAGGAGACTAGATCTACACTAGAATTCGCCCAAAGCACTAAACTGTCAAAAATAAACCGAAAGTAAACATCTTGTCAGCTACAGAAGAAGGCACTTCAAGGATATCAGAACTTGACTCGCGATCCTCGAAACTCGGCTCAAAAAGCAGGCAATTAAGCTAGAAGAGATGGAGAAAAGCAAACAAGAGTATCTGCTCGAGATAGAAAGACTAAAAACGGAAGTATCTATTGTCGGGCGCTTTCAAATGGGAGCCTCGTCATCAACACCGAAAAAAACATTAGAACGTCATACTTTTGGAGACTATGGCAACGTATCACCTAAAAAAGCATCCTACGGTATATGCCATTGAAAAATTATCCACCGAAAGAAGAATCATCCGGACGTGAAATGAGGCCTATTCAAGAAGAGACATATGAGGAGGCACTAGCCGAAGCAGAATCTGTGATAGCTGAAGACGTGCCTCAAGTGTACTTAAAAGACAACTCAAAGAACTGGAAGAATCTTTCAATGAGCTTAGAGAATTCACTAAACTAGATAATCAGCTGTAGATTTTGGACCTGAAGAAACAGCTCACAGAAGCCAATTCTAAAATCGATCGTTACAGTCAGGAACTACTCCGCCAAGTAACGGATGCGTACAATGAAGAAATAGAAAGGGTTCAAAAAAATTCTCAAAAAGCGCAAGAATTTCATCGACTTGCAATACAGACTCGATTTTTCTGGAAAAACATTATAAAAAGACTAAAACATACGAGTCAGAAATAGAGATGCTGCGTACTCAACTGAAGAACCTAGGAAGATCAGAGAGCCCTAAACTATCTCTTGAAGCTCAAAATATTGAGTCAAAAAGAAGGTTGCAGGACTTAGAAGCTATGCTTGAACGCTGAGTACGAAGATATGCAAGATTCTTTAAGTGCTGCTACACAAACTGATGTAACGATGTCACACATTGCTGAACTGCAAGATGAAATTGGCTTCCTAAAAGAACTGAATCTAAACTGAGAAATGACGTAAAGAGTCTGATGGACGAGAGTAACCAACGTGAGGTCAACCACTCATTTAAAATCTCAGATATACGATGCCATAATGATTCTACTATAAAAAGAGCTTCAGGATCAATAGGCTGAACTGGAATGCCAAAACGAAATCTGGATTATGAAAAATGACGACGAAATCGGTAAAATTGCAACAACTAATTACAAACCCGAAGCAGGCTGGCACTTAACCAAACCAGCTGTGCAGGAAGACGTTGCATTTATAGGGAGCAAGTTGAGTTCTCCCAGAACATGTACAAAAAATGAGATAATAGATGGAGGGTTACGTAGAAACCATAGAGAAAATCTTCAGGCAGTTAAACTAGAATATGGTCTACCCTTGTTTAGTGTTTACGATTATTGCAGGGTTTGGACAAAGTTTAAGGGCTGATCCCACGCACCACGATAGCACCTAGGACTTAAGATTGTGAATCTAGTCTTGGTAACCCGCTCACAGTGTACAATTTTCAGCTAATAAATCTTGAATTCTGAGGTAACAAAATCAACTAGAACTCTGTAAAAGTGATTTATCAGAATCATGCCCTTACTTCCATGATAAGAGGATTCGTAAAATTATAAGCAGGTTGTGGCTTATTATCTAGTAAAAGATAAAAGAATCCCAGATCTGAAAACGATTATTGTTCATGTGATCACAAACTTGCAGCGACTTGGTTGTGCGTCGTTGGCACTATTTGTAATCGGGGCGCAACGATCAAAAACGCACTTGAGACGATTTGCTCGGAGAATACTCACGGATCAAGTCCATTCCATTTTATAGTCAATGCTCAGAGTATTTCTACAATTTGTGATGAACCACATTTATTCAAAAATGGATGAAATGCTCTTATTGACATTAATATGAAAGTGAAGAAGCTGCACAGCTTGAACATGTCTAGAAAGCATATAATGTTGATCAACAAACAAGACCATACAAAGAGCTATGTAAATTGAAACCCAGCCACTTTGATTTTATAGATTCGTTTAAGAATATAGAAATTAATCCTTTAATGGTATCGTCGGATGATTCGAGCTTTCTCAGTTATGTGGTGGGGCTCCCGTGACTTCTCATACGGTATAAGCACGTATACCTCAAACCACAGTTTAATTTAAACATCACAAGTGTTGGTTTGTTGACTTTGCGGTCAAATTTGATCCGAGGATGTCAGCTGCGTGTACGATTTGAACTTCCTTCACAATGGATTTTTTCGTTGTTGACGGATGAACAATACACCATAGACTACGCCGAGGACGACGCTGTTAGCGATCAACCTGAACAACTTCCTATGGACGACCTCGCTATGCTTATGGAAAAAACATGTACAATTGGTCAAAACGAGCGCCTGCAACTGGTCGATCCAGACGACAATATTATTACGCATTTACCTGAACTAAAGTCCGTGGCAACCAATTTGGAAAATAATAACCCTGTGACTCGAGAAATGCAGATAAATTTCTCCAAATACGTGAAATTTTCGAGACACTCATAGAGAACTGTCGAAATTTTTATTTTTCGGGTGAGTCCCCTACAAATACGAGATGCTCGTGGGCCGATGTCCTTCCTGTGCCTACAAGAAAACTAAACCGAATAAGTATGGACTGATGATGCAAAGACTCACCACTACCTGCTCAATGCTTTCGTCTATACGAACAGAAATATCACACCAGTAGAATTACATGTAGAATTGCGCATCAACCAACTGACCAACGTCGGCAGGAAGCGTAAAAATAAGTAACAAGTACCCCCCAACATGTAGTTCCAAATAAGAAGGAAACACAGCCAGGTACTTCTAAGTTTACGTTCACTAGCACTACAGCCTTAGTGTAGTATCTTCCAAAACCAAATACACATGTTCTCGTATAGCAATCTATGCAGCATGATAACAAAATAGTAGAGGAATCAAAGAAACCTGATAAGATTCTATATTATTTTTATAACACTATGAAGGCGGGGGGTAATGCATTAGATCGGAAGTGTGTAAATTACAATACTGGTTAGAGCACGAGAAGATTGCCTTGTGCTATTTGGTATCCAACCAGCTTCTGTAAATTCCTTTTTTTCAGTCTGGGACTGAAAGTTCTATTAGGCGAACGAAATTTTATTGTTCTCCTGAGGCAAACTCTAATTTAACTTCGTATGAGAGGACGTTTATCAGATCCAAGACTTCCTAGGGAGCTTCGTTCAGCCATGCAAAGAATCCAAAATTACCAACGACGAATAAAGTAAGCCGTCTACTTCTCAGCCCAGAGTTCTCGATCCTGATGCAGTTGATAAAGGGAAAAACGACGTAGGTGTTACATGACAATACACAATGAAAAAAATGTTCTACAATCTGTAATAAGTATGCAAAGTCACAGAGCAGCTACATTGTTTCGTGAAAAGTGATAAATGTGAATTATTGTACGTTTCCTTATACGAGAAAGTATTTGTTTTGTTGTAGAATATCAACACCAAATATGTTGTTAAATGGCCCATTTTGTTAGTTTTTTTATGTTCATATTACAGTTCAAGTTTCGTAAATTATATTTGTTGCATTACTCATCTTCAAATGGGTATTTTCGTTTTTAGACAATAAACAGTTTTCATGTAAGAGTGTTTTATGCGTACAAACCTGTTGTACACATGGCTAAAAACAGTAATGGCATTTCAGAAGTTGATAGTAAGATCCGGTGGATAACCTGTTTTGCGAGATTAGACGTGGGATTTCCAACACGAACCCCATCTGCTTATTTGCAGCATTAAAAACTGTAATAATCAACAATTTCAGTTTTCCATTGACAATAATGAAGAATTATGAAGGCGATTCATGTAAGGCACTAGGTAACTTCGCGTTGCTTTTAGAAGAGTATTGTCTGAATAGACAACAGTTACCTTGTGATTCTTCACCGAGCTGCATTTTTCAAGTTGAAAAATCGGGTGCTGAAAGTGATGGATCTATAGATTTGTGAGAATTTGCTTCTGCTTCAACTTCTTTTTGTAATAACAATACAGTCTATATGAAATTTAACAATTCTGTTTCTTCTTTGATTTTGAGTCACCCTGTAAATGTAGCTCTACTAAACTATCGGACCGTATTCATAGCCTACAAGAGAAAAAAATCTTCTATACTGGAAAGGAGGAAAAAAAGAATGTATCAACCTGATACATCTGCCCCTCTTTATAACCCGTGATATAGCCCTAGTTCTAATTAAATTTCAGTTCAAGCTTCCAAAATGACTTCCGACAATATTAAAATAGCCATAAAGATCAGACCAATGATCCACCGCGAAGTAGCCGATGGTCTAGAGCGTCTTTGGAACGTAAGAGAAAACTGCATTTGGGAAGCCGATGAAAGTGGTCGCCATGGAGAGGTTTATATATTCGACCATGTATTTAACCAGGAATGTACAAATTCAGATGTATATGGATCTGTAGTAAAACCTTTAGTCGATTCCTTCATGGAAGGTTTCAATGCAACAATATTTGCATATGGCCAAACATCTTCTGGCAAAACACACACCATTTTGGGCAATAAAACAGATCCTGGGCTTTTCCAATTAGTATCCAATCAGTTATTCCAGCATGTGGCAGACCAGGTTGATAAGAGGTACTTGATTAGATTCAGTTATATTGAAATCTACAATGAAAAGATCAATGACCTCCTGGATAAGAGCAATCAGGGTTTAACTATAAGGGAAGATATCAAAGGAAATGTGCTGTTTGATGCAAGGGAAGCTGTCGTAGACAATGTTGATCAAGTTATGGAGAACATGATGTAGGGCAATAAGATCAGACGAGTTGCAGCTATTCGCATGAATGAGAGGTCATCTCGATCACACACGATTTTCCGGATTATTCTGGAGTCGAAAGATGCCAATCAGAAAGATGGACCTGTACATATAAGCTACCTTAACTCAATGGACTTAGCTGGTTCTGAGAGAGTTTCTCTGACGAAAGCTGCTGGTGAGCATCTTAAAGAGGGGGCTAACATAAACAAATCTTTGTCAGTATTAGGAAATGTGATAAGGCAACTAAGCGAGGGGAAGGAGTTTATCAGTTATCGCGATTCGAAATTGACTAGACTGCTCTCACAGGCTCTTGGCAGTAATGCCAAATCATTGATTATCGGGAATGTTACTTCAGCTGCAGAGGAGGAGACTAGATCTACACTAGAATTCGCCCAAAGCACTAACACTGTCAAAATAAACCGAAAGCAAACATCTTGTCAGCTACAGAAGAGGCACTTCAAGGATATCAGAACTTGACTCGCGATCTCGAAACTCGGCTAAAAAGCAGGCAATTAAGCTAGAAGAGATGGAGAAAAGCAAACAAGAGTATCTGCTCGAGATAGAAAGACTAAAAACGGAAGTATCTATTGTCGGGCGCTTCCAAATGGGAGCCTCGGCATCAACACCGAAAAAAACATTAAGACGTCATACTTTTGGACACTATGGCAACGTATCACCTAAAAAAGCATCCTAGGGTATATGCCATTGAAAAATTATCCACCCAAAGAAGAATCATCCGGACGTGAAATGAGGCCTATTCAAGAAGAGACATATGAGGAGGCACTAGCCGAAGCAGAATCTGTGATAGCTGAAGACGTGCAAGTGTACTTAAAAGACAACGCAAAGAACTGGAAGAATCTTTCAATGAGCTTAGAGAATTCACTAAACTAGATAATCAGCTGGAGATTTTGGACCTGAAGAAACAGCTCACAGAAGCCAATTCTAAAATCGATCGTTACAGTCAGAACTCCGCCAAGTAACGGATGCGTACAACGAAGAAATAGAAAGAGTTCAAAAAATTCTCAAAAAGCGCAAGAATTTCATCGACTTGCAATACAGACTCGATTTTCTGGAAAAAAATAATAAAAAGACTAAAAACATACGAGTCAGAAATAGAGATGCTGCGTACTCAACTGAAGAACCTAGGAAGATCAGAGAGCCCTAAACCATCTCTTGAAGCTCAAAATATTGAGTCAAAAAAGAAGGTTGCAGACTTAGAAGCTATGCTTGACGCTGAGTACGAAGATATGCAAGATTCTTTAAGTGCTGCTACACAAACTGATGTAACGATGTCACACATTGCTGAACTGCAAGATGAAATTGGCTTCCTAAAAGAACTTGAATCTAACTGAGAAATGACGTAAAGAGTCTGATGGACGAGAGTAACCAACGTGAGGTCAACCACTCATTTAAAATCTCAGATATACGATGCCATAATGATTCTACTATAAAAGAGCTTCAGGATCAAATGGCTGAACTGGAATGCCAAAAACGAAATCTGGATTATGAAAAGTGCCCCTCTTTATAACCCGTGAAATAGCCCTAGTTCTAATTAAATTTCAGTTCAAGCTTCCAAAATGACTTCCGACAATATTAAAGTAGCCACAAAGATCAGACCAATGATCCACCGCGAAGTAGCCGATGGTCTAGAGCGTCTTTGGAACGTAAGAGTAAACTGCATATGGGAAGCCGATGAAAGTAGTCGCCATGGAGAGGTTTATATATTCGACCATGTATTTAAGCAGGAATGTACAAATTCAGATGTATATGGATCTGTAGTAAAACCTTTAGTCGATTCCTTCATGGAAGGTTTCAATGCCACAATATTTGCATATGGCCAAACATCTTCTGGCAAAACACACACCATTTTGGGGCAATAAAACAGATCCTGGCTTTTCCAATTAGTATCCAATCAGTTATTCCAGCATGTGGCAGACCAGGTTGATAAGAGGTACTTGATTAGATGCAGTTATATTGAAATCTACAATGAAAGATCAATGACCTCCTGGATAAGAGCAATCAGGGTTTAACTATAAGAGAAGATATCAAAGGAAATGTGCTGCTTGATGCAAGGGAAGCTGTCGTAGACAATGTTGATAAAGTTATGGAGAACATGATGCAGGGCAATAAGATCAGACGAGTTGCAGCTACTCGCATGAATGAGAGGTCATCTCGATCACACACGATTTTCCGGATTATTCTGGAGTCGAAAGATGCCAATCAGAAAGATGGACCTGTACATATAAGCTACCTTAACTTAATGGACTTAGCTGGTTCTGAGAGAGTTTTCTCTGACGAAAGCTGCTGGTGAGCGTCTTAAGAGGGGGCTAACATAAACAAATCTTTGTCAGTATTAGGAAATGTGATAAGGCAACTAAGCGAGGGGAAGGAGTTTATCAGTTATCGCGATTCGAAATTGACTAGACTGCTCTCACAGGCTCTTGGCGGTAATGCCAAATCATTGATTATCGGGAATGTTACTTAGCTGCAGAGGAGGAGACTAGATCTACACCAGAATTCGCCCAAAGCACTAAAACTGTCAAAAATAAAACGAAAGTAAACATCTTGTCAGCTACAGAAGAGACACTTCAAGGATATCAGAACTTGACTCGCGATCTCGAAACTCGGCTCAAAAGCAAGCAATTAGCTAAAAGAGATGGATAAAAGCAAACAGAGTATCTGCTCGAGATAGAAAGACTAAAAACGGAAGTATCTATTGTCGGGCGCTTTCAAATGGGAGCCTCGGCCATCAACACCGAAAAACATTAAGACGTCATACTTTTGGACACTATGGCAACGTAGCACCTAAAAAAGCATCCCTAGGGTATATGCCATTGAAAAATTATCCACCCAAAGAAGAATCATCCGGACGTGAAATGAGGCCTATTCAAGAAGAGACATATGAGGAGGCACTAGCCGAAGCAGAATCTGTGATAGCTGAAGACGTGCAAGTGTACTTAAAAGACAACGCAAAGAACTGGAAGAATCTTTCAATGAGCTTAGAGAATTCACTAAACTAGATAATCAGCTGGAGATTTTGGACCTGAAGAAACAGCTCACAGAAGCCAATTCTAAAATCGATCGTTACAGTCAGGAACTCCGCCAAGTAACGGATGCGTACAACGAAGAAATAGAAAGAGTTCAAAAAAATTCTCAAAAGCGCAAGAATTTCATCGACTTGCAATACAGACTCGATTTTCTGGAAAAAATAATAAAAAGACTAAACATACGAGTCAGAATAGAGATGCTGCGTACTCAACTGAAGAACCTAGGAAGATCAGAGAGCCCTAAACCATCTCTTGAAGCTCAAAATATTGAGTCAAAAAGAAGGTTGCAGACTTAGAAGCTATGCTTGACGCTGAGTACGAAGATATGCAAGATTCTTTAAGTGCTGCTACACAAACTGATGTAACGATGTCACACATTGCTGAACTGCAAGATGAAATTGGCTTCCTAAAAGAACTTGAATCTAAACTGAGAAATGACGTAAAGAGTCTGATGGACGAGAGTAACCAACGTGAGGTCAACCACTCATTTAAAATCTCAGATATACGATGCCATAATGATTCTACTATAAAAGAGCTTCAGGATCAAATGGCTGAACTGGAATGCAAAACGAAATCTGGATTATGAAACGTGCCCCTCTTTATAACCCGTGAAATAGCCCTAGTTCTAATTAAATTTCAGTTCAAGCTTCCAAAATGACTTCCGACAATATTAAAGTAGCCACAAAGATCAGACCAATGATCCACCGCGAAGTAGCCGATGGTCTAGAGCGTCTTTGGAACGTAAGAGTAACTGCATATGGGAGCCGATGAAAGTAGTCGCCATGGAGAGGTTTATATATTCGACCATGTATTTAAGCAGGAAATGTACAAATTCAGATGTATATGGATCTGTAGTAAACCTTTAGTCGATTCCTTCTGGAAGGGTTTCAATGCCACAATATTTGCATATGGCCAAACATCTTCTGGCAAAACCAACACCATTTTGGGCAATAAACAGATCCTGGGCTTTTCCAATTAGTATCCAATCAGTTAGTCCAGCATGTGGCAGACCAGGTTGATAAGAGGTACTTGATTAGATGCAGTTATATTGAAATCTACAATGAAAAGATCAATGACCTCCTGGATAAGAGCATCAGGTTAACTATAAGAGAAGATATCAAGGAAATGTGCTGCTTGATGCAAGGAAGCTGTCGTAGACAATGTTGATAAAGTTATGGAGAACATGATGCAGGGCAATAAGATCAGACGAGTTGCAGCTACTCGCATGAATGAGAGGTCATCTCGATCACACACGATTTTCCGGATTATCTGGAGTCGAAAGATGCCAATCAGAAAGATGGACCTGTACATATAAGCTACCTTAACTTAAGGACTTAGCTGGTTCTGAGAGAGTTCTCTGACGAAGCTGCTGGTGAGCGTCTTAAAGAGGGGGCTAACATAAACAAATCTTTGTCAGTATTAGGAAATGTGATAAGGCAACTAAGCGAGGGGAAGGAGTTTATCAGTTATCGCGATTCGAAATTGACTAGACTGCTCTCACAGGCTCTTGGCGGTAATGCCAAATCATTGATTATCGGGAATGTTACTTTAGCTGCAGAGGAGGAGACTAGATATCACACCAGAATTCGCCCAAAGCACTAAAACTGTCAAAAATAAAACGAAAGTAAACTCTTGTCAGCTACAGAAGAGACACTTCAAGGATATCAGAACTTGACTCGCGATCTCGAAACTCGGCTCAAAAAGCAGGCAATTAAGCTAAAAGAGATGGATAAAAGCAAACAAGAGTATCTGCTCGAGATAGAAAGACTAAAAACGGAAGTATCTATTGTCGGGCGCTTTCAAATGGGAGCCTCGGCATCAACACCGAAAAAAAACATTAAGACGTCATACTTTTTGGACCACTATGGCAACGTATCACCTAAAAAAGCATCCCTAGGGTATATGCCATTGAAAAATTATCCACCAAAGAAGAATCATCCGGACGTGAAATGAGGGCCTATTCAAGAAGAGACATATGAGGAGGCACTAGCCGAGAAGCAGAATCTGTGATAGCTGAAGACGTGCAAGTGTACTTAAAAGACCAACGCAAAGAACTGGAAGAATCTTTCAATGAGCTTAGAGAATTCACTAAAACTAGATAATCAGCTGGAGATGTTGGACCTGAAGAAACAGCTCACAGAAGCCAATTCTAAATCGATCGTTACAGTCAGGAACTCCGCCAAGTAACGGATGCGTACAACGAAGAAATAGAAAGAGTTCAAAAAAATTCTCAAAAGCGCAAGAATTTCATCGACTTGCAAATACAGACTCGATTTTCTGGAAAAAATAATAAAAAGACTAAAAACATACGAGTCAGAAATAGAGATGCTGCGTACTCAACTGAAGAACCTAGGAAGATCAGAGAGCCCTAAAAACCATCTCTTGAAGCTCAAAATATTGAGTCAAAAAAGAAAGGTTGCAGACTTAGAAGCTATGCTTGACGCTGAGTACGAAGATATGCAAGATTCTTAAGTGCTGCTACACAAACTGATTGTAACGATGTCACACATTGCTGAACTGCAAGATGAAATTGGCTTCCTAAAAGAACTTGAATCTAAACTGAGAAATGACGTAAAGAGTCTGATGGACGAGAGTAACCAACGTGAGGTCAACCACTCATTTAAAATCTCAGATATACGATGCCATAATGATTCTACTATAAAAGAGCTTCAGGATCAAATGGCTGAACTGGAAATGCCAAAACGAAATCTGGATTATGAAAAGTGCCCCTCTTTATAAACCCGTGAAATAGCCCTAGTTCTAATTAAATTTCAGTTCAAGCTTCCAAAATGACTTCCGACAATATTAAAGTAGCCACAAAGATCAGACCAATGATCACCGCGAAGTAGCCGATGGTCTAGAGCGTCTTTGGAACGTAAGAGTAAACTGCATATGGGAAGCCGATGAAAGTAGTCGCCATGGAGAGGTTTATATATTCGACCATGTATTTAAGCAGGAATGTACAAATTCAGATGTATATGGATCTGTAGTAAAACCTTTAGTCGATTCCTTCATGGAAGGTTTCAATGCCACAATATTTGCATATGGCCAAACATCTTCTGGCAAAACACACACCATTTTGGGCAATAAAACAGATCCTGGGCTTTTCCAATTAGTATCCAATCAGTTATTCCAGCATGTGGCAGACCAGGTTGATAAGAGGTACTTGATTAGATGCAGTTATATTGAAATCTACAATGAAAAGATCAATGACCTCCTGGATAAGAGCAATCAGGGTTTAACTATAAGAGAAGATATCAAAGGAAATGTGCTGCTTGATGCAAGGGAAGCTGTCGTAGACAATGTTGATAAAGTTATGGAGAACATGATGCAGGGCAATAAGATCAGACGAGTTGCAGCTACTCGCATGAATGAGAGGTCATCTCGATCACACACGATTTTCCGGATTATTCTGGAGTCGAAAGATGCCAATCAGAAAGATGGACCTGTACATATAAGCTACCTTAACTTAATGGACTTAGCTGGTTCTGAGAGAGTTTCTCTGACGAAAGCTGCTGGTGAGCGTCTTAAAGAGGGGGCTAACATAAACAAATCTTTGTCAGTATTAGGAAATGTGATAAGGCAACTAAGCGAGGGGAAGGAGTCAGTTTCTTGACAGGTGGCGGTAATGCCAAATCATTGATTATCGGGAATGTTACTTTAGCTGCAGAGGAGGAGACTAGATCTACACCAGAATTCGCCCAAAGCACTAAAACTGTCAAAAATAAAACGAAAGTAAACATCTTGTCAGCTACAGAAGAGACACTTCAAGGATATCAGAACTTGACTCGCGATCTCGAAACTCGGCTCAAAAAGCAGGCAATTAAGCTAAAAGAGATGGATAAAAGCAAACAAGAGTATCTGCTCGAGATAGAAAGACTAAAAACGGAAGTATCTATTGTCGGGCGCTTTCAAATGGGAGCCTCGGCATCAACACCGAAAAAAACATTAAGACGTCATACTTTTGGACACTATGGCAACGTATCACCTAAAAAAGCATCCCTAGGGTATATGCCATTGAAAAATTATCCACCCAAAGAAGAATCATCCGGACGTGAAATGAGGCCTATTCAAGAAGAGACATATGAGGAGGCACTAGCCGAAGCAGAATCTGTGATAGCTGAAGACGTGCAAGTGTACTTAAAAGACAACTCAAAGAACTGGAAGAATCTTTCAATGAGCTTAGAGAATTCACTAAACTAGATAATCAGCTGGAGATTTTGGACCTGAAGAAACAGCTCACAGAAGCCAATTCTAAATTCGATCGTTACAGTCAGGAACTCCGCCAAGTAACGGATGCGTACAACGAAGAAATAGAAAGAGTTCAAAAAAATTCTCAAAAAGCGCAAGAATTTCATCGACTTGCAATACAGACTCGATTTTCTGGAAAAAAATAATAAAAAGACTAAAAACATACGAGTCAGAAATAGAGATGCTGCGTACTCAACTGAAGAACCTAGGAAGATCAGAGAGCCCTAAACCATCTCTTGAAGCTCAAAATATTGAGTCAAAAAAGAAGGTTGCAGACTTAGAAGCTATGCTTGACGCTGAGTACGAAGATATGCAACATTCTTTAAGTGCTGCTGCACAAACTGATGTAACGATGTCACACATTGCTGAACTGCAAGATGAAATTGGCTTCCTAAAAGAACTTGAATCTAAACTGAGAAATGACGTAAAGAGTCTGATGGACGAGAGTAACCAACGTGAGGTCAACCACTCATTTAAAATCTCAGATATACGATGCCATAATGATTCTACTATAAAAGAGCTTCAGGATCAAATGGCTGAACTGGAATGCCAAAACGAAATCTGGATTATGAAAAAAGGACGACGAAATCAGAAAATTGCAACAACTAATTACAAACCCGAAGCAGGCTGGCACTTAACCAGAACCACCTGTGCAGGAAGACGTTGCATTTTATAGGGAGCAAGTTGAGTTCTCCCAGAACATGTACAAAAATGAGATAATAGGTGGAGAGTTACGTATAAACCATAGAGAAAATCTTCAGGCAGTTAAACTAGAAATATGTCTACCCTTGTTTAGTGTTTACGATTATTGCAGGGTTTGGACAAAGTTTAGGGCTGATCCCAGTGCTCACAGTGTACAATTTTCAGCTAATAAATCTTGAATTCTGAGGTAACAAAATCAACTAGAACTCTGAAAAAGTGATTTATCAGAAATCATGCCCTTACTTCCATGATAAGAGGGATTCGTAAAAATTATAAGCAGGTTGTGGCTTATTATCTAGTAAAAGATACAAGAATCCCAGATCTGAAAACGATTATTGTTCATGTGATCACAAACTAGCAGCGACTTGGTTTGTGCGTTGTTGGCACTATTTCTAATCAGGGCGCAACGATCAAAAACGCACTTGAGACGATTTGCTCGGAGAATACTCACGGATCAAGTCCATTCCATTTTATAGTCAATGCTCAGAGTATTTCTACAATTTGTGATGAACCACATTTATTCAAAAATGGATGAAATGCTCTTATTGACATTAATATGAAAGTGAAGAAGCTGCACAGATTGAACATGTCTAGAAATCATATAATGTTGATCAGCAAACAAGACCATACAAAGAGCTATGTAAATTGAAACCCAGCCACTTTGATTTTATAGATTCGTTCAAGAATATAGAAATTAATCCTTTAATGATATCGTCGGATGATTCGAGCTTTCTCAGTTATGTGGTGGGGGTCCCGTGACTTCTCATACGGTATGAGCACGTATACCTCAAACCACAGTTTAATTTAAACATCACAATTGTTGGTTTGTTGACTTTGCGGTCAAATTTGATCCGAGGATGTCAGTTGCGTGTACGATTTGAACTTCCTTCACAATGGATTTTTTCGTTGTTGACGGATGAACAATACACTATAGACTACGCCGAGGACGACGCTGCTATCGATCAACCTGAACAACTTCCTATGGGCGACCTCGCTATGCCTATGGAAAAAACATGTACAATTGGTCAAAACGAGCGCCTGCAACTGGTCGATTATTACGCATTTACCTGAACTAAAGTCCGTGGCAACCAATTTGGAAAATAATAACCCTGTGACTCGAGAAATGCCGATAAATTTCTCCAAATACGTGAAATTTTCGAGACACTCATAGAGAACTGTCGAAATTGTTATATTTCGGGTGAGTCCCCTACAAAATACGAGATGCTCGTGGGCCGATGTCCTTCCTGTGCCTACAAGAAAACTAAACCGAATAAGTATGGACTGATGATGCAAAGACTCACCACTACCTGCTCAATGCTTTCGTCTATACGAACAGAAATATCACAGCAGATGACTGGTTCACGTCAGTAGAATTACATGTAGAATTGCGCATCAACCAACTGACCTATGTCGGCAGGAAGCGTAAAAATAAGTAACAAGTACCCCAACATGTAGTTCCAAATAAGAAGGAAACACAGCCAGGTACTTCTAAGTTTATGTTGTACAGCCTTAGAGTAGTATCTTCCAAAACCAAATACACATGTTCTCGTATAGCAATCTATGCAGCATGATAACAAAATAGTAGAGGAATCAAAGAAACCTGATAAGATCCTATATTATTTTTATAACACTATGAAGGGGGGGGTAATGCATTAGATCGGAAGTGTGTAAATTACAATACTGGTTAGAGAACGAGAAGATGGCCTTGTGCTATTTGGTATCCAACCAGCTTCTGTAAATTCCTTTTTTTTCAGTCTGGGACTGAAAGTTCCATTAGGCGACGAAATTTTATTGTTCCCCTGAGGCAAACTCTAATTTAACTTCGTATGAGAGGACGTTTATCAGATCCAAGACTTCCTAGGGAGCTTCGTTCAGCCATGCAAAGAATCCTAAATTACCAACGACGAATAAAGTAAGCCGTCTACTTCTCAGCCCAGAGTCTCTCGATCCTGATGCAGTGTTAAAGAAAAAAAACGACGTAGGTGTTACATGACAATACACAATGAAAAAAATGTTCTACAATCTGTAATAAGTATGTAAAGTCACAGCGCACTTACATTGTTTCGTGAAAAGTGATAAATGTTAATTATTGTATGTTTCCTTATACGAGAAAGTATTTGTTTTTGTTGTAGAATATCAACACCAAATATGTTGTTAAATGGCCCATTTTGTTAGTTTTTTTATGTTCATATTACAGTTCAAGTTTCGAGGATTATATTTATTGCATTACTCATCTTCAATGGGGTATTTTCGTTTTTAGACAATAAACAGTTTTCATGTAAGAGTGTCTTATGCGTACAAACCTGTTGTACACATGGCTAAAAACAGTAATGGCATTTCAGATGTTGATAGTAAGATCCGGTGGATAACCTGTTTTGCGAGATTAGACGTGGGATTTCCAACACGAACACCATCTGTTTATTTGAAGCATTAAAAACTGTAATAATCAACAATTTCAGTTTTCCATTGACAATAATGAAGAATTATGAAGGCGATTCATGTAAGGCACTAGGTAACTTCGCGTTGCTTTTAGAAGAGTATTGTCTGAATAGACAACAGTTACCTTGTGATTCTTCACCGAGCTGCATTTTTCAAGTTGAAAAATCGGGTGCTGAAAGTGATGGATCTATAGATTTGTGAGAATTTGCTGCTGCTTCAACTTCTTTTTGTAATAACAATAACAGTCTATATGAAATTTAACAATTCTGTTTCTTCTTTGATTTTGAGTCACCCTGTAAATGTAGCTCTACTAAACTATCGGACCGCATTCATAGCCTACAAGAGAAAAAAATCTTCTATACTGGAAAGGAGGAAAAAAAGAATGTATCAACCTGATACATCTGCCCCTCTTTATAACCCGTGAAATAGCCCTAGTTCTAATTAAATTTCAGTTCAAGCTTCCAAAATGACTTCCAACAATATTAAAGTAGCCACAAAGATCAGACCAATGATCCACCGCGAAGTAGCCGATGGTCTAGAGCGTCTTTGGAACGTAAGAGTAAACTGCATATGGGAAGCCGATGAAAGTAGTCGCCATGGAGAGGTTTATATATTCGACCATGTATTTAATCAGGAATGTACAAATTCAGATGTATATGGATCTGTAGTAAAACCTTTAGTCGATTCCTTCATGGAAGGTTTCAATGCCACAATATTTGCATATGGCCAAACATCTTCTGGCAAAACACACACCATTTTGGGCAATAAAACAGATCCTGGGCTTTTCCAATTAGTATCCAATCAGTTATTCCAGCATGTGGCAGACCAGGTTGATAAGAGGTACTTGATTAGATGCAGTTATATTGAAATCTACAATGAAAAGATCAATGACCTCCTGGATAAGAGCAATCAGGGTTTAACTATGAGAAGATATCAAAGGAAATGTGCTGCTTGATGCAAGGGAAGCTGTCGTAGACAATGTTGATAAAGTTATGGAGAACATGATGCAGGGCAATAAGATCAGACGAGTTGCAGCTACTCGCATGAATGAGAGGTCATCTCGATCACACACGATTTTCCGGATTATTCTGGAGTCGAAAGATGCCAATCAGAAAGATGGACCTGTACATATAAGCTACCTTAACTTAATGGACTTAGCTGGTTCTGAGAGAGTTTCTCTGACGAAAGCTGCTGGTGAGCGTCTTAAAGAGGGGGCTAACATAAACAAATCTTTGTCAGTATTAGGAAATGTGATAAGGCAACTAAGCGAGGGGAAGGAGTTTATCAGTTATCGCGATTCGAAATTGACTAGACTGCTCTCACAGGCTCTTGGCGGTAATGCCAAATCATTGATTATCGGGAATGTTACTTTAGCTGCAGAGGAGGAGACTAGATCTACACCAGAATTCGCCCAAAGCACTAAAACTGTCAAAAATAAAACGAAAGTAAACATCTTGTCAGCTACAGAAGAGACACTTCAAGGATATCAGAACTTGACTCGCGATCTCGAAACTCGGCTCAAAAAGCAGGCAATTAAGCTAAAAGAGATGGATAAAAGCAAACAAGAGTATCTGCTCGAGATAGAAAGACTAAAAACGGAAGTATCTATTGTCGGGCGCTTTCAAATGGGAGCCTCGGCATCAACACCGAAAAAAACATTAAGACGTCATACTTTTGGACACTATGGCAACGTATCACCTAAAAAAGCATCCCTAGGGTATATGCCATTGAAAAATTATCCACCCAAAGAAGAATCATCCGGACGTGAAATGAGGCCTATTCAAGAAGAGACATATGAGGAGGCACTAGCCGAAGCAGAATCTGTGATAGCTGAAGACGTGCAAGTGTACTTAA